TAGAAGAATACAAAGCTTTGATATTATCAGAACAAACAGATATAAAAGTGACAAATCAGCAGTTATACTTTAGAATAAGATTAATATCCTTATCAACAAATCAAGAATTATTTGAAGAACAAATAGAACAAATAGTCACGACTAAGTTCATTGAATCGAATATACTGAAATCTATTGACGAACTATTAGAACAAATTTAACACTAGAACAATTAGTAGATCTATTATTACCATTAATCAACACGACCCTCTTGTGGATGAACCACTTAACCATAATAGCAATAGCATATGACAGAGCTTCAATACATTTCATATTACTGTTAAAAGATACTGTAATAATAGTAGGAGTTTGTTATATAATAAACAAAATAGCCAATGCAATAATAAGTTACAGACAGATTGGACAACAAGAAAACCTCTTGAAAATAGAATTTAATGACTTCAGAGAATAATCAGGATAGCAAGGAACAGGCATATCAAATAATCAGACAATATCAAAAAGAACTGCAAGATTTAATCGACCAAGATATATTTATAGATCTAACAAATACAGAATTAAAATCTGGAGTTATAAGAATACGGGACTCATATTCCTGCTCACAACTAAACCCACACGAAACAGATAAAAAAGAAAACATACTCACAATACTTGACGAAATTAATAGAACCTCAATAATTTTATATAAAAAGCTCAAAGAAACTGACATATTAGAATTAAAGGAATATAAACTAGATTTATTAAAATTACAAAGGGGCTTTTTTGAAGATTTTCTATACACAAACGAAGAATTCACGGAAGAACTGAAAATAATTCAAAACAGATACAATTCAAGCAAAATAACACTCCATCTACAAATAGAAAAGAATATTGAAGAATTAACAAGAGAACTTAGAAGAATAAACAAATTGTTAAAAAGTAAATGAACAATAGAAACGAAGAAAGACAACAAGAATTCTTCAGAAGCCAATTTAGATATATCTGGTTTCTCCCAAATAAACTTTCAAGATTCAACTCAGTAACGAAAATTTTAGAACAAAGAACAAAACAACAAATAATTAAAGATATAGAAACATCTTGCACAAGGTTAATAGCAAGATTACAATCGACAAATAATTATAAAATAGGGGCTATATTAATATTATTACAAGCAATAAAAGATTTAGCACCAGCAATACAAACACCGACAGGAATAATATTCAATCATAATTCGAAGAAAACACAAGACCTATATATTAAAAAATTGGATATACTACAAGCACAACTAGGATCGATAAAAGATGAAATATTTGAAGGGATACCAACAAACGAACATATACCATTGTTACCAGGAAAATTATCGACAATTTCCCATAATATTATTCAAGCCTTACAGAATATATATTTTGAAGAAGGAACAAATATAATAATCCACGAAGACGAAGAAATACTTACGGAATTAAGCAAGAAAGGAGCAAGAAAATATATCAAAAACCAGCAAATAAAAAAGTTAATTGAAAAAAGAACTAAAGAATTAATTGACGAAATAAATAATTTAAAAACAGAAGAAGAAATACAAGAAATACAAGAAAATAAAGGATATAGGAAATAAACGAATGAACAAGTGGAAAAAGATCAACATAGAAAAATACTTTGACACATATTACAAATTAGAAGGATTCGGACCGAAAAAGAAAAAAGAAAACTTTACTATTAAAGAATCGGTTACAACATTCGAGAAACTCCATCAAGAATTAAAAGACGAATTCTTTGACCATGAAAGAAAAATACAACACAGTTTATACTCTATACTCCAAAGGGAAGAAGGAACTCAATATATATTCTATATAATTGACACATCTAGAGAAATAATATACTACATTACAGATTACTTAAATCATAACCCAAACTCAAAAGACTATACTTTCGTAAAGAATGAAGAAGAAAGATTGAATTGGATAAGGAAAACACTCCAATCAAGTTTACAATCACTTATTATAACATTATATTAGAAAGTAACAAATCATAGTATAGGAGAAAAGAACACGAAATAGAAAATTATGAAGAATTCAGAAAATACCATAAACAATTTTGGAATGACACATTGGAAATTCCCAAACCCTGAATTACTGTTTGAGGAATATTATTCGATAAATTACAAACCTGACGAAGTAATAATCGGACCAAAAAGGAAACTGACAATTCAACAGTCAATGAAACTAACTAATATACTGAAACAAGACCTAGAAGAAGAATTAGAAGAAATAGTCTTAAGAAGCGCGATATTAGATAAAAAACCACTGAACATATACAACTGCTATCAAAATCCCAACTATTATTGGATAACCAGTGAAATACTTCATATACAAAGTTCATTAAACTCAAAATTCAGAAAGGAAGACGAACCTTACATAGGAAAAAACGTAGAAGAGTGGAAAAGAGAAACAAGACAAAAATATTATAATAACTATATAGAAAGAATATACCAAAAGAGGACAGGAATTAATATAAAATTTAAATATTGGAAGAATGAAACATCAGGGAAGAATACTTAGAAAGAACTATATGAACATCATGCAAAATATTGGAAACCAATTTGGAGAGAATTCGAACCAGAATTACAGCATATTCGAGGAACTTTGGAACCAAAAGGACCAACAACAAGAATGTATAAACAACTTGGACATATCACAAATAAATCCGGAAACAATGGCATACATGGACAGACCATTAATTTTACACGACCCTCTGAACTTACCTAGAAGAATGATAACCCAGGCAATACAATTCACAACAATTGAAAATATAGATTACATCCTATTAGGACAAAGAATAAACCCTGACAAATCATTTTTTGGAATATTTAACGGAATGGGAGGAAAAGGAAAACTTAATGACTACGGAATACCAATAGAAACCATAGAGGCAACAGCTCATAGAGAAATATTTGAAGAAGCACAATTAGTAGTAAAAAATGAAAAATTGATCAAAATACAAGAAAACTCATACTATTCAAACCAAGAATGGATAGCTACGGGATGTCCAGCTGAACAGGCAAAATACCTAATAACCTTAGGATTATTTATATTCAAACTAGAAAAAGAAATACTGAACCAGAAACATTAGGACCTTGGCAAATATATTCGCTAAATCAAATTGAAGAACAACAATTACTGCTAATACCAATGATCTAACACAATTTACATTATATATTTCACCAAATAAAAGATTATCCAGTATTACAAATGATTAATAGGCTAAATTTCACGAAAGAAATTAAAGTAATGACAAATCAAAGGAAAATATATCCTAGAATATTTGAAGAAGTAGATTCGGAATTCGAACAGGAAAAACTGACAGAAATGAATGAACAAGAACTAGAAGACCTAATGAAGGATAAAGAAAAGGTCACCTCTAAACAGATCCGAAGAGCAACAAAATTAAAACAAAAAGTACAGAAAGAAATAGCACCGTTGAAATTGATAGAAAAACGAGTACTCAACCTAGAACAAATTTTAAAAGGGTACAATACTTATCCATATTTGAAAAGAAGGACCGACCAGAAGCCGCTACAATAATGGAATGATATCCCAGAGTAATCGACTTAAAAAGGTTACCAGATAAACTACTAAATAAAGTCAAACAACAATTGTACTATTACATATTGTTCTACAATGGAAACGCCGTAGCATATAGAATTAAAATACGACAAACAAAAGACTATCAAGTTACACTTGTAACAATGAATTATTTGTTGAACGAATACAAAAATCTGACTTTAATTTAGAAAGAACCGGCAACACAAATCCGGCTACCTAATTGTTAACTATAGCCGATATTAGGTAAATAGCCCCCAGAAACAGTCATTTGACACAATTATTAGACAAACGTTTGACAATTACAAGTTCTAATATATTCGAATTTTTTAATTGCCAAACAATTGTGTCAAATTACTGGGAGGCTATATACCAGGGTTGAAAATACTATAGTGATTTGCCGGCCATTTATTGCGTCGATGCTTATTGTTTGAAATATCTTTTTTAATACATCATTATCGAATAAAAATATATTATAAATATACCATAAATCAATAATGATACTTTTTGAATGGCTGGCAAATTACTATGTGTCGTTTTAGCCCTGCTATATACCTAATATCTGGAAGCATGAGTATCAATTTTTTTTAACTGATATTATTCAAATTAGAGAGCTTACAGTCAAGGTTGGCAATGGATATACTCCATTGAGAAAATTACCAATGGAACCAATGAAATGAATAGAGTTACATGCCGTAGAAAGTATTTTGGCATTGATTTTAATATGAAACCGCTAAGGTATCTAAACGGTTTCATATTAAAAATCAGTGCCGAAATAACTTCTACAGCATGTATAGAATGGAGCCAATGATACTAATGGGGAGCCTAATAGAGCTAATGAAGAGCCCAGTGGAGATAATGGCTCCAATAAAATTATTTCATAAAGCCAATGAAGAACAGAGTTCTAATCTCTATCCTTATATACCAATAGCTAATAAACAGAATAAATGGATTAATGTCAATAGAGTTGGTTGGCTTCCATGACAACGCCAGGGCAGCCCCCCCAAAGTTCGGGTTGTCGATCGACCCTTCAAAATTCGGATCGTCGATCGACTCCTAAAGTTCAGGTTGATGATTGACATCCTGCCGCAGCATATAAATTACAATTATGTCAAACTTTAATTTTCTTCTTCGTCACAGTAATAGAATTTGACATATTTATATTTCATAATTATACTTGTATATTGCGATAGGTATAAAAAAATAAATAAATAAATAAAAAAAGAAGTCAAAACGGCTTTCTTTAAGGAACTTAATATATTAGACCATGTAATTCTCTAGTTTGCAAAAGCTTTAGGCTAGTGAGTTAAACTTTTTTTTTATTCTTATATATATATATAAAGAGGTACTTCATGAAAATAATCTATATACAGTAGTATATATTTCAAATAGTGTAACACACATGGGAAGGACTCTACAAAGAAAGTTATGGTCTCCAATAATTATCATTATTCTAAAGATACTTATAGAAAATGTGATAAATATGAACTATCTGGTTCAAACGATCCTATTTTTATTTTTTGAAATGTTATTTACAATCGAACGCTAGATCGCATTTATAAGAATGCTATTTATTATTCTTACTTTGAATCTTATGACAATAAACTTGGCTTTAATGAGGAGCCTCTTATAAACATTCTCGCTAGATATTTTTGGAATTAGAATTTTATCTGTATATATATATATATATTTGAATATTTTTCGAATCTTGGATGGTCAAAGCTCTCAAAAGTTTATCTCTAAATCT